TGAAATGAAATTCTTATTCATTCTGAAACATATTTTAGAAAATGCTAATTAATTTTTTATTATATTTATTAAAAAAATATAATTATTATATAATTAATAATTATATAATAATATATAATTATATAATTAAAAAAATATAATTATTATAAAATTAATAAATACGAATATAATAGAATACAATAGGAAAATTAATTATGTTTAAATAAATTATAATAAATTATAAATTATATAAAAAGAATATAGAATATGTAAAGTACTTCATAAACATATGATTATTCACAATAATAATTAATATATCAATTATAGTATCAAGAATTAATTAATTATATTTGATTACCTAATGCAAAATCGATATACAAGCGATATATCGGTTCTAAAATTAAAACCAAAACTAATCTAAATCAGGACTTTTTTTTACAATTATTTTGATTTGTTATAATTTTTTTCAATTTTTTAAAACTATTTTAAAAATCGTCACTGATATCATAATCGTTTTTTTTAGATCCTTAAATATTAATATATGACATAATACATTACCTCTCGAATATAAATAATAGCTGTGCGACAAGGAATATAAATCATCATACTATTTGAATAATCAGAAAAAGATTCTGGTTTGGTAAAATGTTGTATATTAGTATTAACACGGTTTTCTCCACCAAAATTTTTATCATCACTACACAAAAGAATTTTATAAGTTCCTGCAGTTTTTATACCAATAGTATAATCAGGAAATGATTTGATTGGATGAAAATTAAAAACAAATATAAGTTCTGCACGATCAAAAACAATTATTTTATCCTCTTCATGTTTCAAACTTATATATCCCTAAAAACACATATTTTTATTAATGATATCATAAATATGTAGTGAAATTATAATATATATAAATATTTTTGATTAAAGTAGATTATTTATTTTACAGGTTCAGCATGTAGCCATCCATATTTTGCTTCAAGAGTATTTACAGCCTGATCCCAATTATTCATAAATTTATACTTAAGTAATTCATCATCTACTAAATTCCATTGTCTTCTAGCATAATGATAACTATCTGCATTACCAGCTCGTGGAAAATCCAACCATTCAGGATGACCAAATTCATTACCTTCATATATTTTTTTTAAATTTATAATAAAATTATTAAAAATTTCAATAATAAAATGTATAGTAGTGCTCAGTTAAAATCAATTAAGTTCGATTCTAATAATTAAATTTTTACAAGCAGAATTTATTTCTTCTTTGAAGAATTAGAAGAAC